ATAGCTCCCACCCTTTTCATCCTAAATTATTTATTTTATTTTATTTTATTTTATTTTATTTTATTTTATTTTATTTTATTTTATTTTATTTTATTTTATTTTATTTTATTTTATTTTATTTTATNTATTTTATTTTATTTTATTTTATTTTATTTTATTTTATTTTATTTTATTTTATTTTATTTTATTTTATTTTATTTTATTTTATTTTATTTTATTTCATTTCATTTCATTTCATTTTATTTTATTTTTCCCAGGCCAGACCAACATTGTTGCTGTAGCAGGGACCAGCAGCCCCTGGCTGCCAGCTTGTGTCGGGCGCTGGGTGTTGGGCTGAGCACAAGGAGCCCCCAACCAGCATCTGTTCAGCACATGTGGTGGAGCAGTTACTGCTGGTGAGCAGATGCTGCTGGTTGGGTTTCTGTTGCCTGGTCTGCCACCTGTGGTTGCCACATTTATTTCATAAATAAGTGTATAATTTGATATGCAGCCTCTCATGAAAAAGGGCTTGTTCCAACAAGACTCTGAAGTTTGCCTGGCATGGTTTGGGGAGGGACAGGTGGCCACATGGCTAACTTGCTCCCATAAATTTTAAGCAATCGCAAAGCCTCTCTGTGCAAGTGATGGTGCTGCATTTCAGCAATGTGCCTGTGTTTGAGCTGCTTCAAGCAGGTGGAAAAGAAGAGCAGAGTCCACAGTTTTAGGTGGGCTTTCCCTAACACCAATTTGCTGGATTGAATATTTTGATTAAAAAATAAGCCCCAATCCTCTAGCTGGCATCTGTGAAGTTCCATGTAGCTAAGTAGGGCAGCTTCTTGCTGGGTAGAGGATACAAACTCCAGTTTCAGGATCAGAAGGGATGGAAGGAGATGAGCGTCTAGGTTATTTTTCATGCAAAGGATGCTGCTCTTATTTAGAGGCATAAAGTAACGCTAGGATGTGGGTTCCCTTCCTGTTCAGCAAATCCTCATTTCACCTTGCAGTCCTAATGGCATCTGGTCTAACCTCATTTTATAGCTTCCTTCCCCTGTAAACGGCAAATTTAGAGTATTCCACCTCCTTCTCATTCATTGTAAGTGTTCAAAGTGAATCGCTCACTGTTTTCACTACAATCTTTTCAYGGATTGGGAAGCATATCTGGGATTGTGTGCAATCTTCCCTAACATCAGCCTATAAAAGATAGTCACACAGTTATCGGTAACGTCTTTGAATTTTCCTGGCTGTTTACTCATTAACTCAGACAGATATATTGTTCAGTGTTAGTTTTAGTCCTTGACTTCTATGTATTTATACATTTGCTGAGCTGAGTTTCTACACAACAGGGACAAACTAGAATTGTACATTGCTACRTATAGATCTGCTCTGCATCCATTACTTTCTTGGGGAAATGTTTTTGCCATCTGCATACGACATGCAGTAACCCATGATAATTAGAGTACCAGGATTACATGTCTCACAATTTAAATGTGTATTTTAGCGGAGTGCAAACACCATGTTCTGGATGTGGGGCCCAATACCCTTCATTTCTGGTCTTGGTCCAATTTCAGGTGTAACAATATGAGCTGCTTGTTTTAGCAGTCACCTAAATGAAGGCCTTATGCAGCTCATCTGGCAAGGAGAACATGATATGGGCATGCTAAATCCCCACAGGACTGTAAGTTGCTCATGCCACATAAGCCCTGCAAGACCTGTATTTGCTCATCACCTTTTCCATGTCACTCTAGACACAATTTTTCAGCCTCCCTTCTTGTATTTGCAGGCTCCATCAGTCTTTCCCACATATCTCCCAATACTTTCATCTCACTGTTGTTTCAGTGTGTACATCCTGTGCAATATCCTTGTCTAACAGCTACCTGCCATTTCTAAGAACAACATGTCTTAGGCCTGCCAAGGCTGAGGATGGTTGAGCAGTGCAAGTGCATCTGACAGCAGAATGTTTGCAACTCCTGCTGGGACTTACATGATGCATGGGTGCCTGAGAATTCAACATTATCAACACTGCACTGCAACACTAGGAGAGGAAACACCAGTGCTGTTAGTGCTGGGACAGTYCATTTGCCATGAGATTGCTGTTGGAGGAGGAGATGGGATTGAGAGCACACCACCTACTAYACTTCATTGCAAGAAAGAAGGACTTAACTCATCTCTGCTGTAGCAGAAAATTGAGGAAAAAGTACTTCCTTTCAGTTAGAAATTAAATATTTAGTTTTCCATGAATGGCGGGACAAAAAGGCTTATTCTGTCCTTGGCAGCACCTAAGAGCTGTCTCCTTGCTCAGTATGCTCTTTTCTGAGACACCTTTTATGTTGGTACTTCAAAGGGAAAGTCATTTGATCTGTAAATATGTGATAGATACATCACGTGAACCGCTATCCTACTGTTGTGTCTTTTCCTCTTCAATAGCTGGATGGGTTTGGGATGGCTAAGGTCTTATGAGGTGAAYCCAACCGTTCGTACAACTCCTGTAAATCTAGAGTTATTATTGACAGGAAAGCAGGTGCAGAAGCGAGGCTGAATCCTGTGTGAGTCAGGCACCCACATACTGCTGGAGGCCTGGGTTTAGGGTTGGCCTGGGCCTGGGTTTAGGGAGGCCTGGACCTGGGTTTAGGATGCCCAACCTTTCTCAAGTTTGCCATCCTAACTTACTGCCTTCTTTAGAACATATATTGCTCACACATATTCTCCAGGAAGCTCCTGTCCCACAGCAGACCAGCTTGGCATGCAGCAGATTGTAATAAAAAAGTGAGGACTCACATGCACCATATTTGTTTCTTGCAGCAAATAATGAAGACATAAAGTGATTCTTTAGTATATGCAAATTTATTCAACTCTGCCTTTATTTATTTACAACTAATGACTGATACCAACAGATGAGGTAAAAATATGAGGTATTGATATGAGCATAGCATTTAAAAATGTAAGTATCATAATGTATTCTCAACGGCAACGTAACAATACAAAATACTGTGGCAGCTGAATGGCAGACGTAGCATGCGGTACATGTTGAAGGAAACGTATTTCGTTGGCGAATGGCTTGGAGCTGCTGGAAGTGCATGATGCAGATTCAGCAGTGTTAGAGGGCAAAGCTACCCTGCGGACCGTGGCAGGTGGCACAGGGTCCCTTCCAGCTGAGTCACCACTGCCCACGTTTTTCCTTCACCTCCCTAAGGAATTACTTAGCGCCAGGCAATTGCCGTGCCCATTAATCCGAAGGCTCTCTGCTATTCGTTTATGCAAACTAACAGAAGGGCTCTAATTGCTCCTGGTTTGGGAAGCAGCCGGCTCATCCTGCCTCCGAGGGAAACCAGCTGCCATGGCTACAGGCCGACKGGAGGAGGAGGTGCCCGTCTGGGAGCTCACGGCAGAGCAGGGCCCGGCTCCAGCCCCTCAAACCCTGCGGGAGGTGCCTGTGGAGCACCTGGACCTCGTGTGCCTGCAGAGGCCCCAGAGCTCTCCCACCAAGTCACTTATTGCTTAAATACCGTGCACGGCTTGCACACTGTGAGCCAACCTCCCTCGCCCTAGGAGCCCCTGCAGGCCCCACAGTGGCTCTCACACAGACCAGGGCTCAAGGCCCCATGGCTTTGTGTAGGAAAGGCCTCTCTTAGCTGACCTCATCTCAAACCTCGGTGGGTTTTGCTGGAAGGACTGAGTGACTCAGCTGCTCCCTGCGGCAATAAATAACACCCAAGTGAGCAAACATGGCTAACGAAGAGCATTAACCCACTTGTGCACTCCTACCGATTCACAGATGTAATTCCACGTTGGGTCTTAGGCTAGTTAAAACCAAAACAGAACCCTGTCTCAAAGGTAACACCAACAAATTGTTATTATTACTTTTAAAGCATTTTCCATTAGCAGATAACATGTTCCTGAAAACGAAATGATACAATGAGCATAAATGGCTCTTACTCCTCATAGTCAGGGATGATCCTGCTGCCACCAATGCCGTCAGAGGCAGGATTGTGCAGATCAGTGCAATACAACATGAAAATGCTCACTGTTATTACAAAAGTGATCTTCCCAAGCATAGTTGGCATTTCRTATTTTAAATCTGAGAGGTGTTTAAAAGCTTTAAAAAGTTTAGATATCTTTATAGCTATAGTATAAAAGAAGGCAGGGTATTTATCTGCACATCTCTGTGGTCACTGGGTGTGGAAAATCTGCTTTAGAGTTTCTTAATCATTAGCCATCTGTATGGAAGGAGGAAAGCACAGCACAGAACCACTTACTGCACAAAATGCCGAACAAAAGATTTACAGCTTAATAACTTACCAGTTTGCCTGCAGACAGGGAGGTTACCTGAGGCCACCTCCGTACATGCAGCGTTATCTTGCATTTGCAAAGAACGAGCAGTTACGTTGAACACTGCAGATAGTGAGGCTCTCTAGTGGCAAATACATCATTAATTATGGCAACAGGTAAGATCTCATCACCTTGTACTAACAGTCACAAACCTTTTGCAGCTGAATATAAATGGCTTTCGAAATGTCTGCCTCGGTTACCTTTCCTTTTACTTTGCTTGGTGATACTGATCCATTCCTCATCATTTTTTTAAACGTACAGTAACCTCTCTCCTCCTTAATTCTTTCAGTTCTTCCTACATCTATTTCCAGGTACCACCTCTCAGCATACACAAACACGTAACAAATTTAAAAACAGGTGTTTCTGTTATCACATGTCTGGTAGCCCTGTGATAATAGCAAACACAGCTTATATAGCAGTGTCACACAAAGGAACAAATGACAGATTCATTTAAGATCCAACTGATGCAGGTGATTTCTTCTACGAAGCACTGAGTTATATACAAAATAATTAATTTATACATATACATATATATAGATATAATATAGATATAATATATACATACTGTACATAATTTATTTACAATTAAAATATGCTTCTTAGAAGCCTTTAAATACCAGAGTTATGTAACACACAAGTAACAGTAATAATTTTTAAAAAGCAATAATGATAAAATCTCTTTGAAAAAATGTTTACTTCAATAACTGAAGGCTGTGGTGAGGGCACGTGAAGTCTCCAGAATAAAAGAACCTTCCTATAAAATTCTTGTTTCACCTTTGTTCAGACCCAGGTCTAATCAGATTTCTATTGCAGGTCGCTTAAATAAGGTCTTTGCTGTGAGTCCTTCTACTCTGCCATACCCTGATTTATGCTCACACACTTCCAGGAAAGTTTCCTCAGATTTTTGTTTCTGGTCCCTCGGCAATCAAAGGCTGAAAGGAGTTTCTGATCCTGGCGACTTCTGCTGCACACAGATGTCCGAAGCCCTTGTTGTACCACTCTGGGGAATGTCCTCTGAAGAAATGAAAGGACACGGTTGTTGAGAAACCCAAATACCCAAGAATTATGTCCCACAGGAATGGGCCTGCCATGACTCCTACCCCTTCCTGCCCATAGTGGCGCCGGGAACTTGGAATACTCGACATTGTAAGCATGCTCTGCGGTCACCTTTGCAGAGATCAAGTAACCAGATTTTATTTCTACAGCCACAGCATCTTAACAGTGCTGGCCAGAGCTTGGTGGATATAAAAGATTGCAGAAATTCTCCCTTCAAAGTGGTGAAGCTGCACTAAGCATGTTCTCTGCTCCTGGCACCTCCCTACCCCGAGCTAGAGATTTTTGCCCTGGTGAAYGCCTCCCTGATTTCTGCAGATGGGACACTTACTTTAGGTCAATTCTGCAGATATGGGTCAGCCTGGCTTTTCCTGAGCCACATGGCTCGATTAGGTACTGGGAGTCCATCACGATGGCTCGCACGCCTCCCATGAGAGGGGCCTCTTCGTGCTCCACAGAGACGGCCACCAACATACACGTCCCCTTTGGCAAGTCGGTCCTCCATGTCCTGTAGGGACACATTCAACACAGGCTCACTTTAACAACGAGACTTTTTGGAGTACTTAAATAACAAAGAACCTGAGTCAAAGTTGCAGTTTGTTAGTTTGCTTAGCACCTTAGGACTGGAAAGCCCCATGTCTGATGGCTGATGACAAAATACTGCCTATAAATAAAAGCACAAAAAAAGGCAAAAGTAGGAGAAGCAACTTATTAAAATTAAAATGCAGTGTTGGAATAAGATCACAGTACAAACTGGACAAGACTGCAGGCCAGCAACTGCTAGAGGTATACAGCCATGAAACATTGGAATAACCCTCCAGGAGAAATAGAGAAGGTAGGAAAGCTAGCAGTTTTCAGGGGGAAATTTACTGATTTTTTTTTTTTTTTTTTTTTTTTTGTGCCTAGGGAGCTGTTGCCTGTGATGTCCCTGGAGTGCCCTAGAAGTTCCTGGAGGAGTTCTGTGTCTCAAAATGGTTGGAATTATTAGCAACAGTAAGAGGCCACAGAAACTTAGTGAGTCTGGTTTTCAGAGCTAGACTCCCTCCTGTAAATATATTAACCTCAACAGTGGGTACCACAGCAGTTTGAGAAGTCCTCACTTGTACAGCAGGGTATGAATCCATAGCCAGAATAACCCTGGAAACTCAGACCTTCAGAGGTGACTTGGAAAGGACCTTGCTATGCACCTTATTTTCCTGGATGAGAGTCGAAGATTCCATATGTCTTACCAGAAAAACATGAGATAACTGTTTCCAGAGTGAGGAAAGGCCTGGGAATAATGTAGGACATGCAGTGCACTAAGAGACTGGCATAGAGCACCACTCCAACAATACTGTAATCTTTTGGGTAGGAAATGGCCCATTCCCACAAAGATTGGAAAGGACATAAAGGGAGCTCCAACCCCCCAGGTAAAGGCTCTCCAGGTGATTGGTAACGTTGTTGAGGTCTGCTTACCTACCCTAGGCTTTTGTTTGCTGATACAGCATATATGTGAACCAGCTTTCTTGCCAGCTGTCCTACAAGGACTGGTCACCCAGACACCCACAGAGCCACTGCCTGTCCTTTGCTTCACACCTCACTGAGACTCCAGAAAGAGTCTCCTCCTTTCAAACTCCACCTACCAAGAACCTAGCTAAAACACGCTGTTGCAGTTCATTCTAACATAAGCATACGCTTTTCTGCCTCCAGGACATTTATGGTTGTTATGGTTTATGGGRTTTTATTTTCTTTTTCCTCCCCTTAGACGAGGAAGAGTGGAACTTTCTAGAACAGAGAAGCACCTTTTCTCTTCCCAGCATTACACAGCTACTAGCTTTACTTGGCAATGAGTGCTCTATCTGAAATTTCATGACCATGTCACCGTATCTGTCAGTTAGCCAGTGACATAAGAGTTGTTTTCTTATTCCCAAGGTGTTTCTTTTCACAAGAAGTCAGGTTTTGCACTGGCCATTTAAGATATATTTTTGAGTACAGTTTTGAGCTATCTGCGGAGATGAAACACATGGACACTGAGTTTGAAGGTTGGTGGGAAATCACGCCTCAGACAGACTACGAGCTGCTGAACCACTTACTGCCCAGTGACCATCCTCTCTGCTTTGCTGTGACTGTCATTTTGGCACCCTGGCAGCAATTTCTTGGGTCTTTCAGGAGGTGGAAAACTTACAATTCCTATTCCTGGTTATACAGGTTTAGGACTTTATCTACTACTACTCACTACACTAATCACTACTAGTGACTACYTTACTGCTCTAAGTATAGAGCAGTAGTAGAAATGGCCAGGCAATGCCAGGGATGTACAGTATTTCACATYAAACACCCGAGGAATCTTTGATGAAAGAGGCAGGGCAGCTGTGATTTGCTTCAGGACTCAGACAGACAAAATGAGGTCCTCCCCTGTCCTCTCACCCTTCCACTCTCCTCTAGGGATTTCAATCTCTTTTCTATGATGCTCCATTGAGAAAGATCAACCAGGAGTGTATTATTTGCCAGCCAACAACTATATATGGAGGAGAAAACTGTTGTATTAAAATACCTTTATTCATATCCCCAGAAGGGAATGATAACTTCACTGTTCAGTTCCCACCAATCCCAAATTGACTGGGATATCACTGGCCAACCTTGCTCTAGACTTAATAATATTAATTAAGAGAGAGAAACAACAGGAACTGATAGATTTGCCCCATGGCTGTTTTCAGCCCTTAATAACCCACCAGGATTTTGTTTTATGACATGTATTTCAGTCCTTGGGGGTCATTCTGCCTGGGTTCGTGAAAAGAATGAGAACCTGACAGCAAGATTTTTCTTTAACTGATGTGATTGCACAGCAGATCTTTAAAAAACATAAAATGCCATGAAATCTAATAGTGAATTAAGTGCCAAATAAGATGGCAGAATTATGGTCATCACAATCCTCCCACTGCTCCCAGACAATCTTCCTGGTGATGTGCAGAGGGTCAAATTTATCACTAGTATAAATCAATAATATTATACGAGAAATTCATTTTAAAAATAAATTGACTTAGCCCAGTATGCTGTGAGCAGGAAAAAACAACAACAACAAAAAACTCACAGTGTGAGGACTAGTGTTTTCAAATTATAAGGAAATATTTTAAAAAGCTTCCCCAAGAGTTCCRGTAATTCTTATTCCACCTATGTCTACAGCTATTATTCTGTAAAAGAAAAATAAAATTCATAAAAGCGATCTGCTATTATATTTTACTGGACTCATTTTTTTACCTGCAGTCTTTGTTCCCTCTAATACAATTCTGACTCACTGGACTGTTTTCTTTGTCAAAACTGCTTATTACATGTCTGGTGCCTCCTTTCAATCAAAGAAAGCAGAGACCAAGCATAGAAACKCAGAAAACCATCCTGAAATAAATAACTACAGGGTTGACTTCATTGTGAGTGAGATATTTCAGCAACTCCCCTATCTCTCCTAGCGAGCAGGAGGCGAGGGTTTCAAAGGCTGGAGGTGCATGAGAGGAGTTTTCTTTGTCCATTCTGCGTGGGCTCATACAAAATGGCCAAGCTGGGGCTGAAGTGGGAACCCACAGCTGCATTTGAGAGATCTCATCACCCAGTAAACAATCAGAAYAAATATCTAATATCTCTTCTCCACAGTAGGATTTTTACGTTAGCAAAGCCATTTAGCATTCCTTTGTCTAGAAATATTCTGACTGCAAACATAATAAAATGACTTGTTTTGTGACCACATAACAACCTCAGCTTAAAAGCATCACCATCTTCTCTACTAAACATTTGGCTCTTAAACATCAGACATTCCCCGGAGAGCAGCAAAAGCAAGGTAAAAAACAATCGGGCTCTATTTGCACTGTTTTGACAACAAACAAAGCTAAGAGAACATCAGCTATTATCAGACATCTGTTCTAAGGAATAAATGATATTTATGGCCTCAGGAGTATGTGCTGCTCAAATTACATCAGAAAAAAGGTCAGCATGCTCTGAGTGTACAATTTTAATTCAGTTTAAGAAATAAATACTGCTGCCCAGAAGTAAAGCTCTCTAAGTACAATTATATGGATGCTACAGTTGAAATGAGATGGGAATGGATCTTTCTTATAAACACTGCAGGAAGAAAAGATGCTGGAGAAGTCTTTAGCTTACCTCAGAACCACGAAGTCTCGGACGGGATGAGGTGCCATGCTGTTCAGAACGTACTGGTAAACTTCTGTCTGCTTGTCCAGGCTCTCAACAATCTTCCACTGCAAGAAGTCCTCATCCCAGATGTGCCGCTCCCTCAGCACTCGGTTCAGGACAACTGATGGGGGAGCTTCAACTTCCACAGAGGCCTTCCAGAGCCGTAGGGGGTTCCCGTCCCCAACCTGAAGTAAAGCAACAAAAGGAATAAAACCTCATGATTTATAAGCRTGGACTCTGTGGAGGATAACTGAGGACAAAATCTTGGAATGAACCAGTGTAAGAAGGGAAGTTGTAGGGCATGCGTATTTCCCTGCTATTCTTTAATATTATTGCTTCATTTGCTGTTGCTTTGTATCTAAAATACACACACATGCTAGTCTTTGATGGAAAATTTAAGTGATATATTACTTCTGCTCCCACACCAGTGGGAATTTGGACTGGTTCCCATAGTGTCAGTGGAGCTGCTGTAGTATTTCTGGTATGAAGGACACTGTCTCAAGGCCAAAGATCCTAAGTGTAGTGAGGAATATGTGAAGTAACAGCAGATGAGTGGAGAGACTGCAACCCACCATCTCAGGCAATCTGTGAGAGTAAGCACTGACTGTGCCAGTTTGTTGAAGAACAGAACACAGAAGAGCAGAATCAGAGAATGGTTGAGGTTGGAAGGGACCTCTAGAGATCATCTAGTCCAATCCTCCTGCTCAAGCAGGGAAACCAAGAGCACCTGGCACAGGGTGGCATCTACGTGGGTTTGGAAGATCTCCAGAGAAGGAAGCTCCACAAACTCCCTGGAATTTTTATTTTATGTTATTCTATTCTGTTCTGTTCTGTTCTGTTCTGTTCTGTTCTGTTCCCCAGAGTTAATTTCTCCAGTCCTCTTTCTCAAGAGCCTCAGTTGCTCCTGTTCTACCTATAGCCTCACCTGCCCTTGACCTCAGACCTACACATGGTCCTATTCCCTCCCAACACATCCTCTCACGTCCTTCCCTCCCTCTCATATCCTACTCCCAGTCCTCATGGTAGTCACTGCAAGTCTCCATTCTGCCTTTGTATCTCCAGCAGCTCTGAACTGCCTCTGTCCACAGTGACCCCAGGACACCTCTTGCCTGGTGACAGTGTTCTGGCTTTCCCTGGAGAACTGACCTGCCTGGGAAAATTTCAAAGATCCCGATTCAAAGGTTGCAGTTACCAAATATTCGGCTGGATTAAAAAAAAGAAAACTATGGATAAAAGTAGACATATGGCAGGCCTGGCCAAGTAAAGCCTGGATATTTGTTTTCATACCTGCATTTTGACTGTGCTCTATAAACAAGACACTGAAACTTTGCCTGTCCCCTAGTCAGAGAACTTATTCAGGCAGTGTCATCTGTTGATAACTCTCCTCACTGTCTCTGGCTGCACTGTTTCCTCTGTCACTTACTTCATCTATTTTTGGAGACCTTAGCTCACTTCTGCATATCTTTCCCTGGAATGTCATAATTGAATCATGTTACATTTTTATTAACTTCTTTTAGTGATCTTCAGTAAAAGCTATCTGCTTCAGCAGATGGAGGGGTCCACACTTAGTGGCATAATAAATCATGTGCCCTATAGGTAGGGTATATTTTGCCTTGGTTTGTTTWCTACTTCTTCCATGTCTCCTTGAAATTACCTTTTTGTAGGCAAGCTCTGTGTTCTCTAAACTGGAACATGTGACCCATCCTTTGAATTTCTCTTTTGCTTCTTTCTGGAGAGTCTGCATGAGACTTTCAAGGTACATCTGATAGTTCCCTCCTCCTTCATCCACTTGTTTCCCTAGTTCTTCCAGAGTTGGAGAATGCACTTCAGCATCAACGTAGGAGTTTCGAGACTGGGTGACCATCTCATGTGGGACCTGCTCCAAAGAAAGCAGATAAGCACAGAGGAAAAATCTTCTGAGAACCTTTCTTAAAGACAATTTCTACTAGGCTGATGGACCATTTGGTACCAAATTGCAATGGGTCCATAATCTGTAAAGCAAATACCTATTGCTTATCTTTGATTGTTACACAAGGTGAGCAATCAAGATACTATATTAAAATAGCTAGTGAATCAGCCTAGCTCTGCTCATACAGTATCAAGTATAAATGAAAATATCTGTGTTATTGATGATAGGCTACTCCTCTAGGCCTTGCTCTCGTGAGCATTCTTTCTCCTACGTCTGCAATGAGTCCGAGCTCTAGGAAGGAATTTCCTCCTGTGTGATTTCAATTTTCTTCCWTGACACAAAGAAATAAAATATGTCAACTTCCCTCTTTTAGTTGGATTAGTTTTAACTTAAGTGCTAAAAGCATGTAATAAAAATAAATATTAGAGTAGCAGATTTTGATTTTAATTAGACCAAAATTTCCTAATCCTGTAATCTGGRTTGAAAGATGCTATGGAAAAATTACATTGCATTTTTAATAGCTGCATCTTTGAATGCTAAAAGGGAACAGTCATAAAGAAATTAGATACATAAACTTTAGATGGAACAGGTTTACAAATAAGTGAAACACCATCAGTCTCTGAGCTAATACAAGACAGAAGATGTAAGTGTAAGTGTAAGCACTTCAAAGGATGCAGCATTATGTGTCCATGAATAATGCTGTTTGAGACTCTCACTCACCTCAAAAAGTTTGTTGCATTCCATTATCATGTGAGCAAGTCCCTGAGTAGCTGCCAGGTTTTCACTGAGGTCCTTCTGATCTGGTTTCCCTGTTGCATATTTTTTCTGTATCACTCTGTAATTGAAATCAGTGTTTCAGGTGAAAAGAGCTGAACCTTTTTAAYAAAAAAGCAAACATAGTGGTAGGCTGTTCATGACAGAACAGTCTGTCCTTAGTTTGCACTTATCACAAAGATGGTTCAGACTATGTTGGGCCTTTTTCAGAAGAGAAAATGTTTATCTAGAATGTTGTTGAGCCAGAGGTAGAAAAGGAAAGATCACATATGTCCTGCATATGTGATGTTCCTTCAGTAAGCATTGTGCTTCCTCCCTGGAAGCACCTACTGACCTCTGCAAGGATATGGCTTTGCACCTTGTGCCATTCACTAAAAATCTGCAGGTTACAATCCTTTAAAACATTTTCTCTCTCGCTCCTGCTAGTCTTAGACTTCAGCTAGAGCAAAGTCAGGCCCTTATCCTTTAGAAGGCAACACTGGTCATACAAAACCCACTTGCACCCCACTGAAGCTTTGTATGAAAAGCAGGCACTTGCATATGTGCAACACACTGTCAGAAACACCCTGCTGGGCTTGCAAAAATGCCTTCTGTGTGGGTACCAGTGTGTTTCTGGCTCTGTGGTACTGGCCTTACCCTCTCCTGCCCTTTGTAATATGCAGTGAAAACCTGACACTTGCAGAAAATTTGTCTCTTTAGAAGCCCTGAAAGCAACATCTTTTATTAAGCCAAGGATATGGCTATCTATAGCACTAGGAAGCAGCTCACCTTGGGGAGCTTTCCTTCTTCACGATATTCAGGTGGAAGAGGGAAGGGGCCAGGCAGACGGCGATGTTCATGGGAGTCATCTGGTTCTCCTCCACGGAGGTGACGTCGCTGAGGAAGCAGAGCAGGGTCTGCAGGACCTCCCGGTTCTCGTCTGCCATGAGCATGACGGCCGCCTGCACCGCCTGCAGCCGCTGCTCGGCGGGGACATCTGAGCAAAGGCACGGGCTTGTCAGCGGGGTCACTCGTGACACCAGAAAACACTGCAGCAGGCTAAAAGCACACTCAAACAACGGCTTTTTGAAGAGGCAGATGAAAGGACTGAGACCAACTGGCTGTCGGAGCGCTTGCTGTGTTTGCTCCTCCATCAAGCCTAGCATGCCCAGCCAAGTTTATGACATTTCTCTGTTTCTTATGCATTTAAAAGGCTGTTCCCTACGCAAAAGTCTGAACTTCATTTCAAGTTTATGAAGTGAGAGTAATACTCACTAACTCATATCTTTGAATGTTACTTTTCAGGATTCTTTTTTGCCTTGGGAAGACATTTCAAAAGTCTTAGGAAAGCTTTGGGAAAATGCTAACACTTGTGTCCTAGCCCATAAAAGCATTTAATGAAATCAGTAATGGATGTGCTTAAATAGCATCTAAGACAGATTCATTCCTAAAACTACCATAAGTTTTCTCAGTTTGGATTAGGAGCCCTCCTCTGGGTATTACACACACTCTATATAATCGAACGAAAGAACAACAAAAACAGATTTACAGTGCAGGGAACAGCCAGCTTTTAAGCTCTTCCTGTTAGGCTTGTGCAAGCACTTTATTTTAAAAGCTTTCAAACATGAATGACAAACAGAGCACAGTGCCATGTTTCCAATTATCTACAATTGGAAAAGCCAGGTCTTTCTGAGACGCTGGAGAAGTCTTAGATAAATATGTACAATCTGTTCTTTCTCCTCAGATACCCTCCTTGCACTCCCTCATCTGTGTTCTTGTGCAGGCAAGTCTAATGAGTACAGAAGAAGACTGGCCAGACCTTCAAGTCATAGGCAGACTTTAGGCAACTGAGGGTTTTCAGGAAATGCAGAGTTTCATCAAGGCTATGCTACATAGAGGACCTCATTAATCATCTCATCCCCGTTCCTGTGTGTAATAACAGACTAAGCTATCCCCGATATGTGAACAAAATTCTATCACAAGTTCAGTGACACCCAGAAAATGAAAAATCCCTTGCCAATATGCTAAGAGAGGAAAAATTCTTTCTGATCTCACATTAGCAATCTGTTAAACAGAAAGAATATGAAGAAAAACGTCCAACTACAGATTTATTTAATTGCAGACGTTATGAAATACAATTGGTATCTCAGCAATTTTCAACATTTTTCTCTATGTGAAAGGGGTACTGTCAGTACTGTCTGAAACAGAAAAATACATTTTTGGTAATCGCAGAGAAGAAAACACAGATTTTTCTTTTTAATCTAAATTTTGTTCTCCTATGTCTATGAAGTCCATCTTTTCCTCTGGCTAGCCTGTAGGTACGGATTTAAACAGACCTATAAGCAAGTCTTTCTGATATCCTTTGAAGCTCTTGCACTATTCAAGAAAATCTCGCCTAGCACCTTCTTTTCTCCAACAGTGAGTTCTCTAGACTTCCTGCTGCTGTTCCATGTCAGGTGGAGCCAGCCCATGTCCTTCTTTGCAGCCTTTCTGTTGGCTGGTAGAAATGTTTCACGCTTTCAGCCTTTGGCTGTTGTGAATCCTGATGCCAGGCTCCTGCCTCAGGAATGGGAATTCATGCTGATTACAGGCCTGATAGGTTGAGATCTGCCTTGTTCCTGTCTCTTTGGCTAGCGGAGAGTTCMCCTGCAGTCACTTCAATGCCAAGATAGGACATTTCCACTTTTGATCAAGGAATAGCTTAAAGGGATTTGTTTCCAAGAGCATGTTGCCTTCAAGCCAATAAGCTTTTCCCAGGCCACTTCATTTATGGAAACTACTAGGACTGCAATTTTATTAGTACTGAGAATTCTTGCTGCATTTCTCACTGCTGTGTGTACAGGAAGCTGTGACCTGCAACCTGTGAGCATGAAGGAAGAGGGGGAAGAGACGGTCCAAGACTGGTCACCAACAGTGACCCAAGACATCCTGTACAACCCAATCCACTTTATTCGTTTTGCCATCCTGATCTGTGAAACCAGAATCGCAACACTCCTCTATCACCTCGAGACATGACAGTATTAAATACACCAGGGACTAAATCTAACAGATTTTTATGGGAAACAGAGGCACAGAAGTAACTTGGATTCTTCAACACTGGGCTTAGACAGTATTTCAAAATGGCTTTCTATTGTTATAGCTACTGAAACTTCTGTAGCTGAGAAGACAAGACACATTTCTCTTGAGTGCTTCCAGTTAGCTGGCTTAGACTGGAAGGCTGTGCTTTCTGTATCTGCCAAAGCACTGGCTGACTGGTCTTCGTAACGGACATTCTCAAGAAAACTCTAATTCCTCTGGCTCTTCAGTGTTTTTGTCACTGTTTATTGTTTATTCCTCCCTCAGTCTGGAAAAGAATTACAAAGTCATTTCCTGATTTACGTGGTTTTCCAGCATGCTGGTGCATTTGAGTCTCAGGTTTTGCTGAAGACTGCATATGTTGAAAAGAAGAAAACCTCTTTCTTTTTTTATCTGTTAGATCTTTACATGAAATCTATGTCTGGAAGTTAAATGAGGGCAGCTGTTTATATATGAACTATAAAGAAAAGACAAATAATCAGAAGTCCCAGTAAAGAAGGGAGCAGGGCAATTGCACATTCTCTTGGTCAAGTACTATTTTTCCATGCTCAGAAGATGCAATTGTATTGAGATGTTTGCGAGAAATAGGTCTACAATTTAAACAAATGTGGCAAAAAAATATGAGTCTCTATGCATTTTATGACCATGGCAGCCTGTCCTCTAGGGTTTTTGTTAACAAAAAAGACTGATATTTTGAAAGCTTCTTAAGATTTGCATACTGTCCTTCCATTAAAATTCATGGCATTTCGACACTGAAACCTTCAGGCAAGTCTAAAAACTTCTCATCTGAAGACTCTGAGGACAGGTAAATTCTTTTTAGCTATCTTGGTGGTGAACGCAAAGAATACAACCCCATGTTAACATGTTTAAAACTATTAAAACACACCTTATTATATAATATATAATGGTTTATAAGTATTCATATTAATGAAACTATTTCAACTTACACTGGTAAATGTGTAGAAAGGTCTCTCCTAGCTTGCTTGTGAGGAGAGGTTCTGGCAAGTCCCTGAAAAACTGCTTCACCATGTCTGCCACGTCGTATGCCGACTGGTCTTCATAACAGACATTTTCCGGGGAGCTTTCGTTCATCTGCCGCAGGGCCTGGATTCGGGATTTCACTCCGGATTTTCGAAAGAGACCCACCTAGGAAGATGCCAGGTTGAGTTTGGCGAAGGGGCAACTTACTGAAGAACATAAATATTTGTTACAGGAGGCTTTGCTTTTTAGCAAAGCTACAAGAGCTTGTTTTACTCTAAGCAATAGTAAGAGAAGTATGTGTTGTAATTGCCTAGTTTCCTCAGTTTCCTATAATTGCCTGGTCTCACGAACAGCCTCCTTCTCTGGAGGCAGGACTGCAAGAGTTAATAATTCTGCTGCTCTATATCAGATGGCAGAGGAGAAGCTCAGAGTGCATGTGGTTAYGCCGTTGCCTGAAGAGCTCAAGCAAGATCCTGAGCTGATATAAATCAGTGGCTTGCTTTGCTTCAGTGACTGCCTGTTGATTTACTCCAGCTGAGAATCTGGTTCCTCATGTTTATTTGACTGTATATTTTGAAGACTAACACGAAAATATTATGTTCGGCTAAGTCATAAATGCTGTGGCAAAAGATTTGCACATCCTGGTCGAGCTTGAAAACCKAGACCAAATCTATTTTTGCCCTTCCTGCTCTCTGCTTCCAATAGTTCCCCCAAATTCCTCCAAAAAAACCTGGTTAGAAAGCAGAGGCCGCAAAGGGATTGTTTGTGTAGTGTCACTGAGATACATTTTTATCTTGTTTGCTTTCTATTCTAAAGGAAGTGGTAATTCTTAAAATGAGGCCTGTTGGTGCCTTCACAGCAGTGCTGCCCTTTTACAGTAGTTCTCATAAGTGGAATTCCCCAGAGGTGAATTCCTGAGCACAAACCACTTTATTTATTCCCAAATGAGCTTACAGAGCTTCATTTGGGAAGTATTAGCACTGTTTTCCTTCAGTTTAGCAGACGAAAAGGTGAAATATTGAGAAAGATCTAAAAAAACAAACAAACAAAAACAAAACATTTTTCTGGTTTTGAATTATAGACTTTAGCGTCTGCTGTCTTTTAACCATCAGTTCAGCCTACTGCACGGCACAGTCAACCCAGGAAAAAATGCAAAGGCAAGAAAAAAACGGGCCTATCTTCCTTATGTGTCTCCCTTCTGCCAAAACATAGTTTACTTAGGTCTGTCTTCATCCCTAACTGCTTCTCTGCTTTCCACGTTGAGCTCTAAGGCATTTAAGTGTTTTTAATAACACATATAGCATACATCATACTSTATGCTGTTCTGCAAGAGGATGTATTCACTTATGAACTAGTATGCCAGGCTGAAAACAGTGGCTGTGAGCTGCTGTTCTGCTGCGTCTTCTTATTTATGGGTTCAGTGTTTCTCGTGACCTAAATATATATGTCAGAATTACAGAAATAGAGCTTGCCCTGGTGCATCCTGGTGCACTTCTGTTCACAGGTGAAGCCTTCTAGACTTTGGACAAGAGAACCCAAGAACGAACATCTGGCTCTTTTTATCTAGTTTTCCCTTTCTCCTCTTCTTCTTCTCCTAATTTCTCTTCTTAGATACCTGTGTGCTGAAGACATGTTAATTCTATGCAAAAATAAAAGTCTGCCATAGGGTAGGTAAAGGAGGTAGAAAAAAGCTCATCTCTGTTTTTGATGGAAAGTGTCCTTGCTGGTTTCCTCCAATACAGGACAGAAATCCAGATTGCCACAGACATAACCGTAAGTGTTAGCTACTGCATATGTTGTTTTTACTTGTCTCTACCCATCTTGTCCTTCCATCATTGTTAATACATTCTCACTGTTAATGTAGCCTGTTAATAAAGGCTTTTCTTCCAACTCCTTAACCCACCCTATATATATTAGATGGAAATCTTCTTACCTCATTTTAGACACCTGCAACTTTTACAGTAAATGAGAGAAACAGTGGGAAGGGTCTATGTCTTCCCACTGGCTGTATAAGGAACCTGCACTGATTCACAGCTAGAATTTTCAGATTTCTCTTTTGGGGAGGATGCCTGTCACTGAGCACAACTACCTGAACAGCAACAGAACAGTGGTCAGAAATGGAAAGATTCAGAAGAGATTACTTCCACCCTTTATGTGTGCAGTAAATTGCTAGTAATTCCTTTTGAGCTTATAATTATCTAAAACCACTATAGAAGAGGTCATATGATGTGAAACTAATCACAGTAGAGGACTCAACCCACTGCACCAGGGGGTTTCTCCCAGACCTGTGTTCATAAGGATRCATACCCTTATTCTTAGGGGAAGAACAGTAAAAATATGACTGGTATGTCCCTGCTCAGGAGCTGAAGTGAGGCAAAAAAAATTAAAATACTTTGAGYATATTCATCTCCCTATTAGCTTGCTGCAGTTAACAGCACTGTGAAAGGAGACATATGGTAATGGATTTGCCRTTGAACCCCACTGGCCTAACTCTATCTGGGTGTATCTGGCTTTGTCAACAGAACACTTGGAATATTTTGCTGAGTTTGCTGTCTATTCTTAGTTCTTTCTTTGTCAAGTAAATAAAACTTTTCATACCCTATCTTGTGAAATGATGAATGTATTTTTAACTCTTACTAGCAAACGTCAAGTGTGAGCTGTGTGGATATCAGTAAAATTTGGAATCTTAAGACCTTCCCAGGACTGACTGAATACATATGAAGATTTCACCTTTTTACATGCTACTGTGTACAGATCAGTAGGACTCTTACAGCTACGATAATTCAACAAATCAGCTGAATGCAAATCTTCAAATGGTAAACCATTAGTATTAGTACCAAGTATCAAATCACTAGATGAGATTCTGACTGAAATGTACAACATGAGAGAAAATAATCTTATTCGGGTACTAAACAGGGTCACCACAGCTTGCTTAGGGTGATTTTACAGTCAACCAAGCCCATGGAGTAAAGTTCATACCTGATCTAGACAAGTGCTGCGCAAGTAGCGCAGTGCTTGCTGTATGCTCTGGGGAAGAGGCTGCCCGGTCCTCTGGACGTGAACTATCAAGGGCACACCAAAGACGTTCTTGTCCTTGTAGTCAGGGACTTTCATCCTCTTCATGAACTTTGGTACAGACCTGAAAATCGATGCGAACACATTGCATGAAAACGGCAGGATATTTACACTGTCTTTCTGAGTAACACTGCTGGGAGAAACTGGTAGCTGGGAAGACCTCCTATATTATAAGGAYGGTCAAGTAATGTTAAAAGCACAGTATGTGGATGCTTTATAGTCTGTACAATTTATGGATTTCTTAACCACTTTTATAGGTAGATGGCCTTTGCCTCTAAGATACAGCAAAACAACCTGTTCTAACAAAAAAAAAGCAACCGTGCAATTGTCATCCAGCTGAAGTGGCTTAAAGCATCCAAAAGAGACTCAAAGGAAAAGCAGAGAAAAGTGTAGCAGAGAAGTAACAGAGAAAAGAAGGATCAGTCATCYAACATGCAGAATGATTTTTCATCCATTCAAACTAACAGTTTTCTAACCTAGCATTTCTGTTGCCTAAAAACTTAAAGTAAAAAAGATACTGGGAAAACCTTATGYGCCTGGTGTTCCCCCACTGATTTCTCATTAAGTTACTTTGGTGAAGCTGGTGAGCTTTCTTCAGTAAATGACAGTGCAAATGAGAAAAGACTGGATTCTCTTTGTGGGAGTCATGACTGCAGTGGGATTAAAAAGATTGATGCATATGACCCAAATATGACCAAGATTTTCTCTTCTGTGTTGGAAGGAGATAAACCTTGGATTAAATGACCTACTGAAGGACTACAGAAYACAGCTTTACAGCTATTTAGAATCCTACTGCTTATAAATTCTTAGAGACTGATTATACAAAGTGAAGAAATATTTGTCAGACGGGAAAACATTTCCACAAACAGCAAGATCTACCATTTACTATATTCTAATCTGCTTATTTGGAGTTGGTTAAGGTGAGATTTATGTCAGTACAGAGAGGCAGAGGAACTGCACTAAATAAGAACAGTGGGCAGGGGGTATAACCTATTTATTTTTAGCTATGTAAAGGACATTATTAAGATAGAGTTAGCAGTTTCAGCTTACTCTGCTCATTTTCGAGGGAGTCACTTTTGGAGGGTGACCCRACTCCTCTGTTTTGAGTAGAATGAGTTGCCTTTGGGGTTGCCTGTCTTTTACCACTGACAACAGAGCCAGCTGACCAGACTTGCTCAGACGAGGCTCCCAACTTTTGGGAGTGGCTGATGTTAGTGAAGCTGATCACATGTAGTTCCTTATATCTATTTTTCTATTTCTACAAGTGGACTTGCCTTATCTAGCTCACAGTATGTGATATAAGCAATGTGATATTTGGTGAAGCACTTTGAACAAGGAAAGCACAATACAAATGTTGTCATATTATTTTTGGACTTAGTGTTTCTGAGTAATTAGTAAAGTTTCTACTGTCTTTTTTTTTTTTTTTTAAATTTCCCAGATATTGATAACCTCTTATCTGTGTTTATTTCCATTTCAAGATACCTCAGTATGCATGACCCTTAAGGTTAGCATGCTACGAAACAGAAAGACTTTTGCAGCTGGTTGCACTAAAAGGGGAGGTCATTGTCAGCCCTCCTGTCCATCTGCCCTCAACTCTGCAATCTGAATGTCCAGGTAGCTGTTATGTCTRCAAGCAACATGTAACACAAGTGAGATCTCGTCTAAAGCTGTCTATCTTCCAGTCTCTATAGGAAAGTCCTTTATCTAGTTTAACTATTCTTTTAAAGCACAAATAAGACAATATTGAATATAGTATTAACAGCAGCTGYCTCCTTTGAATCACAAAATGAATATGGGGGATGACTTATTTTAAACATTTCCTCCTTTTAATCACTCTCTCCTACTCCTGTTTATTTTTCTGGAACTTGAATGTTGTTAGAGAGGCTGGGGTTGTCTCACATTTAGAGTACAGTAATGAGGTCAGATCTCTAGGATCTATTTCTGACTTTCTTACACTGAGTCAGTAGGCAGCTATGGATGAAAAGTCCCAAACTCTACAGATAAACTAAGTTGTTCCTCCTAACCCTGTTTATTGAACTAGCAATTAGAATTATAGAATTGGGAGAAATTTCTTTCTTCTATAGATATCTCTTTTCTAGTGCTCTGTTGTACTCACCAGGTCCAACCATGTTTGTTTGACATGGAGTATTTTTCCATGATGGCYGTAAGACGAAGTAGAGAGAATTTTTGTAGTAGATTCAGTTGGGCTGCTGACTGATTACTGATGTGAAGTGATGCTATGGAGTGACTCAGCCGATGAGAAATTTGGAAACTATGCCACCGTAACCGCCTTCAGCAAAAGAAACAATAGAAATTCAGACAATGAAGTGTTTCAGTTGGGCAGAAAAAGGTGGTATACTGTGAGAAAAGACTAGGCAATACATAAACACACATATATGCACACACTTATGGTTCAAGGTGTGACAACTGAAAGAAAATGTAGCTTGGAGGCCAAAGAAATAAWCTGTTTACCTAATTTTGGAAATGGCCATATTTAAAATTTTTGTGTTAAATTCAAATGAGGCATGGGCCCCTTTTATGGACGTAGGGAAGCAATGTTGCCTGTTATGTTTTCTAGCCCACACATTTCCAACAGGATGTGTGAGATCCAGATTCAAATATTCTCTCCCTGACTCAGAACTGGACTTGATGCCTGGTCCCCCACCTCCCAAGAGACCACTGTGGCCACCAAGGTATTTGGAGATGACATTCTTCAAATAAAATCATTGTTATAAAATCGTTGAGGATTTTTTTTTTGTAGAGAGTTTGAACTGTGTGTCTCCTAGGCAACAYCATATCCACCAGGCTATTGAGCTATTCTCCTCTTTACCTCAATAAACTTTATCTAWGTACTGGATATACTGGAAACAACTTGTTTCAGTTTATTGTTTTGTTAAAAACGAACTTTGGCTCAAATCCTGCAAACTTTGGCACTGCTTATTTACTTAGTAGTTTCCTCGAGTTTGCCTGCATGTGATGGTGGTGAGCAAACATGAATGGAAGTAAACTGTGGCAGAATCTTTTGTGAGGATTTGACAACACTGAYGCCAGATCAGAAAGTGTCTTAGAATCATAGAATGCTTTAAGGTTGAAAGGGACCTCTAGAGATCATCCAGTCCAACCCCCTGCTCCAGCAGGGACACCCGGAGCACRGGGCACAGGGTGGCAGCCAGGCGGGTTTGGAAGATCTCCAGAGAARGAGACTCCACAGCCTCCCTGGGCAGCCTGTGCCAGGGCTCTGKCACCCTCACWGKMAAGAAGTGTTTTCTCAAGTTCCTGTGGAACTTTTTCTGCCTCAGYTTGTGGCCGTTTCCTCTAGTCCTATCACTGTCCACCACTGAAAAGAGGCCGCCCCCTCCTCCTCACTGCCTCCCTTGAGGTATTTATAGACACCGATCAGGTCCCCCCTCAGCCTTCTCCTCTCCAGGCTGAACAGGCCCAGCTCTCTCAGCCTTTGCTCATAGGGCAGATGTTCCAGGCCCCTGATCGTCCTCGTAGCCCTGCACTGGACTCTCTCCAGCAGCTCCACATCCCTCTTGTCCTGGGGAGCCCAGAACTGGACACAGTCTCCAGATGTGGCCTCWCCAGGGCTGAGTAGAGGGGCACGATCCCCTCCCTTGACCTGCTGGAGACGCTCTTCTTAATGCACCCCARGATCCCGTTGGCCTTCTTGGCCACCAGGGCACACTGCTGTCTCATGGTCCAGTGAGATATGTGTCAGATATCCAGTTCCCAGTGGGATATGTGTCAAATGTTTAATGTTTTCTTACTGCCTCCACACATATGAACCCACACTACACAAAGCAGTACAGATCCAGAAAGCACTTCACTCAGAATAGTGCTCACCTGGAACTAATCTCTCTGTTTCATGACAGGTTTCCAAACCTTTAGCAAAATCCTGCTCTTCACCTTTATTAACAGGTTAATCATATATAATCATTTTGTCCAGCCAGGTAAAGTAGTGAGGGAGTGAATAAGGGGCAGGAAAATTCTCTGTGAGAACAAAGTGCCACAATTTTGAAGCAGATCAGTGTGTAAAAACATGCACGAGGCTAATGACACATACATAATGTCTGTGATGCATACATGGTCTTTTTTTATAACAGTATGGCTCATGAAAGAAAAAAATATGTGCTAATTTACACTGTTTCTCCATTGGTTCCACATAAGAATTTCTAAAGGAAGATATCCCTTTCCCAGAAGTAGTCCTTTGCCTCGTGAAGTCCTCCTCCTCATGCAAKCAAGTACTATAGTGACATCCTACATTTGTGATGCCTAGGCTTCACTACAGACTATAGTCTATACAGACTATACTGTATTTCACAAGTTATTGCTTTGTTAATACAGAAGGAAGTTGGAATTGTGTACAGAATCTTGTCACCTACCTGCTTGGCCTTGTGAGAGATGCTCCTACCCCAGAGTCCCTCCTGTCCCTAACACCGGTGGCTTCTGACTCATTCAGTGATGTTCCGTCTCTGTCCATGTCACTTGGTGTGGTCCGGCCATCAGAGACAGAGTTCCCTTCAAAATCAAGTGTTATCTGTGTGGGTGACTGGAAAGGCAATGACGGAGATTCTTTCATGGACATGTCATCAACTGGAAGACCTGGCAACACATTCTTTGACCAGCCATCTACCACCTCCTGGAGTCCATTGACGTGTTGCAAAATATCATCTAAATGAGGAAAAAGGACATCTTTCTCTAAGTCCAGGAGGTCCCCCGTGCTAGCATACAAGTGGGAACCTGGCACATTGTCGTAAATACTAACTCTGCTCTCTTTTGAACAGCAAGCTATCAATCCAGCTTCTTTTGGAGTAGAGCAATTCTGTTTTCCCAGGGAGATGCTGCCTGTCCTCCAGTTTACATTACTGTTATCTGTAGGTGAAAGGCTTTCAATAGAGAGTGCCTTTGGGAAGGTCCCTGGTTTGTGATCCTTGGGAATGTGTACAACCAAGTTCTCTTGGGAATGAAATTCATTTTTTCTGTTTTGGTCTGCCACTTGCCGTACAGCTGTTCCTGACAGAACATCTAGGTCCTCCAAATACATCCCACCTCTCTTGTTTGCTTCATGACCTTTGCGTTCCTTCAAACATGGTGTGCTCACCCCACTGCTGCTGTTTTCAGACTGACTGCTGTCACTGCTGGATTTGGCAGAGAAGGAGAGTCCTCTTTTCACTGAATCTTGTCCTAAGTTTTGGAGACCACCATTGACTATCTGTACACAGTGCATGTCTTTCAAGGACTTGGGCTCATACTGAAGAACAGGTCCACTTATCTCTAAAGGACCTGTTCTTCCTGAGCCTTTTAGCTTTCCATGTACACCTTTTGCTTTTAGTGTCTCCATACGTTTCAGAAAGGTTTTTGCTTTTGTTCGTGTTGGTTTCTCATTCTTCACGTTGTCTTTGGGGGCCAAGGCAATGCTTACTGAAGTAGAGTCTTGCAGAACTGTGTTTTCTACATCATGCTGGCCAGAGCAGTCACAGAGCTCCCTGACAGTGCTGCTGATGCCAGAGTGACTCCTGTTGTCACTTCCCCCACTGCTCTCACTGTGAATAGATGAAACCTCAGGTTCACTCAGATCTGTAAGGACACTCTCACTGCTTGTTGTATTTTTCATTTTAATGTCCCCAGAAGACCCATGTCTGTCTGATCGGTGAAACAAAGCATCAATGTCGTCCACTCGAGACCATCGTTTGCTGGTTCTTTGGAAAGTCCATTTATTACTGATAGCACAGAGGTCTTCCTCATCTGAATCTTCACTCTGGAAAATAGCAAGTAGAATGCATTAAGAGCAGGTGTGTATTATTTCCACTGAATTATTTCCATTGAACTGTACTACTCAGGAGAGAAACAAAGGCTGCCAGGCATCTAAACTTGGGATACTGGTCATCAACACTTTAATTCCAGCCTTCATTGTTTCATTGTAAAAACTGCAGTGAGCAGGTTAATGGGTAAACACTAAATTCTTCGTTACAGATTCATGAGTGGATGAGACATGCTGTATCAGCACCTCGTGGCTTCAGTGGGGTCTTTGGTCTATGCACAAACCTGATGGCCTACAGTGACTGCTCAGAATAAAGAAAAGGATTTGAAATGTGCTTGTACGTGGATCTGAACTTGCAGGGAAGGTGCTCAGAAACACACAAGAAAGACTGTGAAGTAGCTGGGAACTAGAGCAATGTGCCTACACGTGAAGCACTTGTACACCTTTTCTTTAAGCACTACAAGCAYCTTTCCATTTAAGCACTCAAGGCAGTATATATTCTGGGATGCACTTACTTTTGCAGTGAGAAGTAAATAAACATTTCCAATAGCATCAATAAACCTCAAAGACCATGTAAATCTCACAACATTTATATTTCAGCAACCTAAGTGGGCAGTTGTGGTCAAGCTCAGGGTGCTCGAAGAGTATGAAGCCCCCAGCTGATAATGAGCATCCCCGCCTTGACTTTGAACAGGGCTTATACTGCCTTGTTCCTGTGCATCTGTTTTAAGGCAGAGCAAACTATTTTCACCTACATGACATCCAAACAGCTCTTCACATTCTTGGAAGCAGCATGAAGGCAGTAAAATATGACAGGCTGTCAGACTAAAATGAGGTGCTAAACCAAAAAGACTATTTTGGGACTGGAAAAAAAAAACCCTCATGTTAGGAGTCTATTATTAGAAATATTTTTCTATGGAGTTTTAATGGTAAAGTTATCTTCTACCTCTGRCTAGACCTTCATTGACTTATCTAATTGAAAAACATAAATTTCAAAATAACCTCCAAATCTTAAATTACACTAAATCTCAGAATATGAAGGATGTGATCAGAGTGTCAAGTCTCTCTAATAGCATAAGCTTTTGACAGTTTATCACTTTGAGTTGGCCAGATGTTTTGGATCTTGTCCAAATCATAAAATAAAATACTGCTTGTAAAACAATAAATTTGGGGTTTAGACATTGCTGGTTTATGTGTTATGTTAAGGTAAGCAGTCCTTCTCCAGCTGATGTTTGCTCATAGGAGGAATAAGCAGATGCCCTAATTCTGCTGCCAGCTACAGAATAAAAATAAGCAGCTAGAGAAGCAGCAGGAAAGGAGGCAGAAATGCCTAAAACTACTTGGGTCATTCTGCATCAGGAAAGAGGGGCATATTAGAGAGCTCTACCTTCTGCTTCAGCTCGGCAGTTTGCTGCTAGACTGAGTATATGCAGGAGGACTGCACACACTCAGACACTTAAAAATCCATCTATTGTGGTCTTAGCAGTGCCACAAAGTGGATATTTTAAAAACCGCAAGGGCATGTACTTTTAAATATTTAGCAGTGTTAATTATATCTACAAAGCATACCATTGCTGAAGCTTTGCTGGCACCAGCCAATAGGATAAAAATATACATTTTTTATTTATTGTACATTCCCAATATACTAAAAGGACCCTAAAGAAGATTGTTGGCTGACACAAATCCCTGTAGTTAACATTGACATTACTGTATGAACTGACAGGATTTAGCCTGTCTTCTGCAAGCTGGAATCTATTAAACTAGCCAAAGTGCTAGAGACATTGTGTGAAAACACCAAGAGGAGGGCAGAGAATAGGAGAAGACAGAAATATACAGAAATTCAGTGGTGAATCTACTCTAAATTATTTTTAGAGGAAAGTAAGTATTAAGATTTTTTTAAAGTGGGTAGAGACGAGCAGAAAAGGATATTGGTATTGAACAAATTGTGCATCTAACCACAGCACAGGCAGGCACAGTCTGTCCTGACTGATCAGAAAATATGGGGGGGTTTCGCTGTTGAAATATCTAATTAATATGGAGGAAAATAAATTATTATTTTTTTAAGTKGGAATGAAACAGGCTTGCTGTGCTTCATCCGACGGAAGATCAAGCACATGAAATATCTGCCTTCTGAACTGCTGCCACGGTGACTCACTCCAAATTCTGCGGCACTGTGTGGCCTGTGACATAATGTGCTTTTCTGTGCAATGGCCGCAGGAGAAATTCTGGAGCCCACAGACATTCCGAATGACCCACTGCTCTTGTTAGATATCAGAGAGCAGCCACGAATGAGACAGTGCTGAGAAATGCAGCGAGGACTTTGCCAGCTGCCAGCCGTGGTGACAGTGGCCCAAGAGTGGGTCTGAAARTAGCGATTCATTTTACATAGATTGGGCAGTATCTCATAGCAGTGACTGTAAATTCCTAGGTTCAATTCAAGTAAATGACTTGGGAGCATATTCGAAAGTCCCTTTAATACCACGATGGTTGGGAAGACGAGAAGAGGCAAGTTTCTTGGGAAGTGATACGTTAGCCTGATAACAGTCTGATGTCAGACTAACACATAAGACTGATAATATTAGCCAAAGAGAATGAGTTTTTGATTCATAGATTTGTCACAGTTGGTTTCAAATAGTACATTCTTTTTTTTTTTTTTTTTTTTTTTTTTTTTTTTTTTCTTTTTTTTTTTTTGACTGGAATTCATTAGTGTCCTCAGATATAGAGGGACACTAACAAAAGACAAAATGTAGGTTTATTTGTAATGGAATTTTGCCATATTTTTTCCAGCTGGGGGCAGGAATTCTCATAAATCGACAGCTGCAGAAGGCAGTTAATCCAAAGGCTAATCTTTGCCTGTCCAAATCACTTATAGACATGGTTACAACATATATCCGAGAATTCCTCTGTGCTTCACAGTGAGGATAATGGCAGGAGAGCAGCTAACTCCCCACGGAGTGGACATATATCTGAGCATGGAGCAGGTGGGAAGCTGGCTGCAAGGAACACTCACCCCTTGTTGGCTTTCACRCTGATCTTGTCTACTAGCTTATTTTGCCAGATTTTGATGAATTACTCAAGCAACTGCATGGGTCCTATGCAAACCAGTTATGCTGAACCTCCAAACCAATCTGCCTGTGCATCTTGCCATTCAGAAGACTACAAAAACTATTAGAGAAAAACTATTGCATCAATAAAAAAGTTTTCTTGAGTGAATGTTCAGTTCCAGTCCCAATTCCTAGGTTTTATGTTGACCTTTCATTACCAGTCTCTCCTTCCTCTTGGCCTCCCGTCACATCCTCTCTCCACCTGTTGCCCCAAATCTCAGCCATTCCTTCTTTSTGAGCTCTGGCTCTCCCTGGCCTCATGCATGTAAAGACCCAACTAGCTTCTGTCCCACTGAACAGGTAGCCGAGTATGACCATCTCATTCCTCAGCAAAATATGGGACTTACATGAGGAGATGGGACTTACACGAGGAGAATAGTCGATGGCTTCAAACCATTCTGAATAGCAAGGGGTGGCAGCAAGTTTTAGTCAAAGATAGCAAGAAAATTCTCTCTCCTTTTGTATTTTTTTCTGATATAATCAGCTTAAAGAAGCAAGCAAGCATACAAACCTCCCAAGAAAACCAGAATACTTGTTGAAGGGAAGGAGAGGAGCTAACATACAAATACATTTTCCCCAGGACAATCAGCATTCATGGGTATGAATGCTAAACTTTTTGCAATTCTGTCCCTTGCACAGTGCCCGAGTCTCTGCTTGAACTCATGTACATGTGCACAGGCAACAGAAAGGAAATCACTCCAAGAAGGTCAACGATACAATGGATTTAGTGAGTTCGCTCTCGCTGAATGAGCTCAGCCTCTTCCTATAGTGCCTGCCTGCCCACATTATAAAGTTAGCATTGTAGTCAGGGGATTTTACCGTTCACTCTGTCAGGCGTGATGTGGGTATTTGATGTGGAAAGTATTGGCACTTATCAAAGACATAGAAATCCATCAGGTCTGAAGCTGTGAAGAGATGGGATCCCTGTGGTTTCACTGAATGGACAAAATGCATGCTGAAGAGGCTATATACACCGAAGAACAAATGCGAATGTGCAGAAGGTGACAGACTATCCAGACATTAAATCATTTTTTGTCTGAGTTCCCTCACACGCTGAATAGGGGATAAATAGACTGAATTTGCAATGACACCAAAAATGCAACTCTTAGAGGTAGTTTTCAAAAAGCATTAGGCAAACTTTCTAAGGAAGGAAAAACATGTACCAAGATTTCTCAGAGGCAACGATTACCATGGTACACTGCTGAAGAGCCTTGGGGAATTTGTGACTAGAAAACCAAATGCTCAGCAGTTCTGCTGGACATGTTACGAAATTCTCAAAATCAATAGGCAGTTTCTGCATTCCTCCCTGAAACCCTTTAAGCCTCAAGTAATTCCCATGTTACACAGGAGTTTGTAAGGATGACAGGGTCTATTTTCATATTATTAACTGGGAATAAGGCAGTACAAGAAATAAAGAAAAGCTATTGTTTTCATTTTTTTCCCTAGCAGGATGTTCCACTGAGTACTCATATGCTTTGGCAAACAAGCCAATGTGATGAAAAAACACCATCTTTTCACCCACTAACTTAAATTGCTCACATATCAAGCTATAAATACTGCACGTGCCCTTCTAATACAYGCTGTAGGATGTTTTGTTCCTGCTGTAATAGTCGGGTTTTTTTTTATTTTCAAGATTCCACAAATTTTTGCCCTTCCAGAAAATGCTGACATGCATACTCAAAGTCAAATATACTTAATTTACTTTTAAGAGCATTACTGACTTACAGCCTAATTTGGGGCACTCTTATCAAAAAGCTCTGAACAAAGCCAGCACATTTCATGGTGTTTTCTTACCTTTTTCCTTTGYAAGTTCACATCGAGTTTCATTGAGGCGCACTTGTTCAGTGTGTTCAGTCGTCTAAGGGGTAAAGCACATTCAAAAGATTAGCAGTTGCTGATTAAAGGGCACAACTTTTCATAATTTCAAAAGCTTTTCTCTTATCTGCCTGTAGGGTGCTAACTCTGCACTACAAGCTTTAAAAATGATATTGTTCATTTTATGTCATGCTTTAAGGCCACTGCTTTAAAGCGGCATCTTACCTTCACACTGCTTGATAGCCAGCTTTTATATATTGCTTTTTAATTCATAGTATTTTAAGTACTTAACAAAGGAAATAGATATGAAAAAACGTTTTTTATGGATGGAGAAACAACCAGAGTGAGGAGATAAGTTGCCTTGTGCAGGAATGCAGCATAATTAATATAAAATGATTTAATGTAAATGCTTGGTATTTCAAAGCACCATGTAAATGCTAATTTCAAAGCACTTGGGAAAGATAAAAGAAAAAGAAAAGCTATTCACTTTAGACAGTTAGTACCTCCTTAAAAAAGTCAACATAAAGGAGAAATTGTAGTAACTATTTATTCATGGTCAATAGTTCCTCCCCTAAACCTATAGATCTTATAGACAGACAGATTAACACACCCAATATGCCACAAATGTAACATTGTGTTAACTAAACATTGCTTAGTGATTATAGACTATGCTTTGCATGTTATGATAATACAACAATTTCTGTTTGGCTTCTGCTCATTAAATCCAAGGCTATCCCATGACGATACCGGGTTGAAATGACAACCTGATACATATGGAAAGTGAACACTGCATGTGTGTGTGCATCCATATGCAGAGGGAGTCAGAGCACTGCAAAATGTGCTCCTTCGGTAGTGATAGTACTATGCTAATCAGAACTGCTTTATTTTTACTTCCTCTTTAAGGTCTACTATCCATCTTCCACAAGCAACAAAGTCTCAGTGTTAAATACATTCAACTTTAAAGGTTTCCCTGTTTTAGGGCTGAATTTCAGAATGAGGCAGGGAAGAGTTGAGACATGCACCCACACTACTCTTCTATAAGCCCTATGTATCAGATGTATCTTTGCAGCACAATTTCTATTTTGCCTTTGGGCACCAGGATGAGAACCTGCAAATCTATAGAACTGGAAGCATCTGAAATGTATGTGGTAAATTATAAGGGCATGTGAARAAATATCATGTCAATACTAAACTCTGTCATAGAGAGATCTTATTAGTATATGCTTCCCTGGGACTCATTATAATGTTAGAAATCCTCTCTAACTACCACCACTTGAAAAGAACCAGCCTACCAAATGTAGATCTTCTTTATAGAACTGCCCTCACAAAATAACACCTCCTCATTTGTAGATAAAATACTCTTCCCTAACTCGAGCCAATAAAACCTTTATGCCGTAACAGAAAGCCCTGCACCCATATTAATGTGAGTGTGATGTATGCATCAGCATATCCCATGTGCATGGTAGTAAGTCCTTGCAATAAATTGCAGGCTTTGTGGTTCTGTAACTATACTTTCAGCCTTCTGCCCACAAATCCTCCTCCTCGGGGATTACATCTATCATTGCAGAACTCATCTTTTGCCCAAACATGGAATTTCTCAACCCAAAGTTTCATTTTGTTGGGGCCCTGGCTGAATAACATTCAGTGCTTCTTCTGAGTACAAAATGTTTAAATCYGGATATCTGCACTGATTGTAAATATACAGAAGCCAAGATGTATTTTCTATTTTTCTAGCTTTCTATTTGTGGAAACAGTTTCCTTCAAGGGGTGAACTGAAAGCTTAGGTGTGAGTTCCTGCACTTCCTATTAGTACAGCTTGTGTTAGTGAGACAAGCTTGTAGGAGCATTTCTACCTGCCCAGGCTGTTCTGTGCACCACAGCTCAACTCATCAGCTGTCAAGGCACTCACACCTGCACATCTAAATCAAGCCAATATGGGATTTAAATGGGATAAACCAAACTAATCTGCAGAATGATCCATTAAAAACATATCTGAATGTTTCTACAGTGGCAGTTAGTTTTACCTGAAAGCTGTCGGGTCCCCTTGGTTTGTCCCCTTGTTTTTGTACTCCTATCTGAGCCTCCGGGCTGGGTTTCCTTTCTCTTTCAGAGACGGTGGGAGAGAAAGGCTGTGTCTGTTGGATGTTGTCCAACTGCTGCTGTCACAACATGGCTGGGGTGTTTGGCCAGAACAGGAATGGGAAAGAAACTTCCCAGAGAAAGGTGACACCTAAATTCATGATGAGACACTCAGAAATTCTGAGGAACCATTGCCTCCTTTGAAGTTGCACATCAAACTTGATGTGTCTAATTTCTAACTCGCCCATCTCTGTAAGAATGAGCACTGAAGAAATATTGCCTGAAAAATGGAGCTGCAATATGGGTCTTGTGTCATGAGTCTSTGGCTTAGAAAATAGCCCTGTGCTTATTCCTTTTTTTTTTTGCAGTTGCTGTTGAGGAGTAGATATAGAACAAAACATGTGAAATACAGGAGCCAGTGTATACTCTTCTACTCACAATAATGTTGTATGCCTTCTAAACATAATGGAAGAAACAATGCACTTTAGGAACATGATGTAGAGAAAGTAGCAGCCAGTGCCTTATACTTTGCCTTGCTTGTGCCCGGGTAACTCTGGATGTGCAGCCGAAGCAGAACATGTCATGGAATATGTCATGGCATTTCTAAAAAGGGCATCCATCTTCCGTGTGGAAAAATGCAGAAATCCAAGGGTCAAACAAATCAAACAATTTGAAGCAATCACTAACCATATTAGAGAGCAAGATCAGTTCAGCAGAGAACTGACCGGTCAGCTCTCTGAAAGTGAACGTCAATACTTAGATTGCAGCTCCAGAAAACTAAATCATTATCCCAGTTGCTTTCTAATCTGCTTTTTCTATGAAGAATCCCCTCCATCAGAAAGAGAACTACTCTTTAATGGGAGCCAAGGACTTAACCTCAGYTTGTAAATGTATCCATCTACAAAATAAGGGCATGCTTTCTGGGGCTTTTTCAATGTGAAAAGATTTGCCAGTGAAATTAGAGAACTAATGATGAGATTTGTTAACTTGCCTGGTACTAACAACTCCAATCAAAGCCAGTCTGTTTCAACTTTCCATATCCTGGTGGTGTGCCAGTGGTGGCAGAGAGCTTTTCTCATCAGCATATAGCTGCTAGATGACTGACAGCCAAGTTCTCAAAAAAAATTACCAAAAAAATAAGTCTTTGGCTACAAATGGCTGTCACTGATGTCCCAGAAAAGTGAGAGAAGCCTTGGAAATGCTACTAATACTTTTATGTCTCTACTTAGAAATACAGGAAAAAAACCTGCCTGTTGCTAACCTTTAAGGGAGATAAAAAAAAAAAAAAAAAAAAAAAAAGTAAAATAAAACATGTCTGTATGTAACACAGGAGATGTGGGGTATTTAAGAAAAAAGTAATCTCTGGATGCTTTTGAATGCTTGTCTGGGAAGCTGTGCAGTGTTCAGGGGAAGACTGCAAAATACTTACTATAGCAAGTGCTTCGCTGACATTAACCTTATTTCTTCTCTAGGGCATGAACATGACAGATGTCCACTGACTCAATCCTTAAACATCAGGGAAGCAATTCAGGTGCCCAGGTGGAAGTGCCTAGTGCTATTTCAGATCCCCTTTAGAACCAATCTTGCCTTCAGCTGCTGCTGGTCCTGTGTCAGCCAGCCCACGGGGAAGTCTCAGATAGCCCAGGAGATTAAAGATGACATTAGATGGCATTTGGGGTGCTGAACCCTACTCATGGTGGAGTATGACTATCCCTTATGATGGAAGCGCTTCAGGAGCAGGAAGTCTCTCCCTTTTACAAACTGAACAGCACCAAGCAGTGCAAATAAACACAAATCTGTTGCAAAACAGAATTTCATTAACTGTGAAACCCTGTGTCTGGCCTATTGCCCTGCTTAAAGAGCTGTCCAGCTACTCTGAAGACAACCTCTGAGTGACTTGGAGCTCCAAGAATCTCCCTGAACCTGTCTGCAGCTGCTCCCAAGCTGCTGGTGGGCATACAGCCAGTGGCACCAGAAGGCCATGCAGAAGTTTTTCTGCCAGGAGGCAGTAGGATGGGGTGACATGGACTTCACCAGTGTCTCCTGCCCCTGGAGAATGGGCCACGTCCTCTCTTACCTATCAGGAGAACACATTATATGGTTCTCTAAACTCTTCCTTGAGGGAAATACTACACTATTTCTCAGTTTTATCATTATTCCTAGTCAAGCTTAGGTGCAAAAAGAGGATGCATGTACTTGGAGGGCTGCTTTTGGTGCTGCAGAATGTGTGAAGAGAGCATCTGAGCCCCTGTGCTGGGCTCTGCTGAAGACTCAACACTGAGTCTTTGTGGCATGGAGGGAGTGGAATGGGAAGCTCACAYGGCCACATGCCTGCTCCACCAGTTTTGTGGATAGAGACTACACTATTTTCCAGTCCTGTCACTTATTATCATTGCTGCAATGGGCTGAACTACTTCACATGGAATGTTCACCTGAGGAAACTCCTTGAGATCAATGGGAGTCTTTCTACTGACTTCAAAGCTGGGCTTTCTGTAGTGCAAGTGGGGATCCAGGCTTATCTCTTAACGGCACCTAGAGCAATATAACCCAATAGATTGCACTGACTATGCAACAACAGTTCAAAACACTAAAGCGACCTTTGGATTATTTACAAGGTATCTAAGAGGCTGGAAAAAGAGGCTGCTGGCTGCTTCCCCATTACAAATTTTAAGAGCTTGGTTTAGGGGCTGGAGTAGGGTCTTAGCAAACTAGTATTACATACTTCTCCTTTACATTCTTTGTTGCTGTATTTACATGAACACAAAAAGTACAACATGGCTTGACTTTTCCTTCTCACCCTCTTATCACAGCAGTCACAAAAGTTCCCAAAGCAGAATCTGTTGACTGCTATTTTGGAAARGACATAGAAACCCAGCTATAAAATTTTCATGCCCAATTATTGTTTTGGCAGGCTGACAACCTTTGCCTGCAGAATGCATGGCAATTTTCTATTGTTCGTTACTCAATAAAATCCAAATGGAATCTCATGATAGGGAAAAAGATATGCCTCTAACCCAAAGGCCCCAGATTCGGCCTTCCCGCTGCCAAATTTTAAAATGATCTTGTAAACAGCAGGAGCATTAGACTGTCTCAGAAAGGTCACTGAAATCTTTTACCGCTGGGAGTTTCAGGCATTCTGCACAGAATCCTACCAGCTGCCTCAAAAAAGAAGAGCTTTCTCCCCATTTGTGCCTCAGACTGTCTCACATACTGCAATGTTATAAGAAAGGCAATTATAAAGAGTCCGATTTCACTCCACAGCAGCAGAGAAATTCAGTTTTTATTCCAGAGCAGTTATGATTCAGAATGAAAACTCTGTTCAAAGCAATTCTGGCATTCTGTCCATTCTGGCAAACTGATTCTATTCTGGCATTCCATCCTCCAAATAAAAATGACGGCTCCATGTTGCTCTGCATTATAGACTGACTGTGAAGGCTGGGTGTCTGAAGAATTGAAGTTTGGGACCCAGCACAGTGACCAGTACATGCCAAAACTGTAATCTTTTTTGGCTATTTCATTAAAGTGTGTCATAGACTTCGACTCTTGCGTGAGATCCTGGAAAGCATCTTGCAGTGAGGCCACTGCTGAGCAAAGCAAAAGCAGAAAACTGGCCATGGTGGTCTGCCAAGCTGTGAGGATCTACAGCTCAGTGGCCAGCTTGGAAAATGCTGGTTTGAGAGCTAGCACAGCAATGCTGCTGGTAGGGGAGGTGCTGCTGACCCTGCTGCTGTTCCACACGAACCAGAATGTGACATTTGGCACAGCCGCTTTTATGGTTTGCTCTCAGTTAAAGATTTGGAGCTGATGAATTGTAATAAATGAAAACATCACTCTTCCATCTATTTAATCTGCACGTAACACTTCTTTTTCTACCTAGTATATGAGGTGTTTTCTCTGTTTAGATCTATACTACCTGAAAACTCCCAACATAAATTAAAGTGACAGGGATTATTTCATGATAAAAATCATTGGACAAGTCATAAAAACTTTCATCTCTGAATATTCTTTTCCATTTGGAAAAATCTATGTCTCTCCTCACATATTAGAAGCCTTAGGCTGATAATAAAGCATTGTCACACCAGTGCACCCCTCCAGATCCTGGTTTCTCTTCCAGAATCTCATCTTTCAATAGAAGAGAGAAAACACACACACACTCACTCCTGCTGTTTTATGCACAAAAATACAGAAAAAAAAAAATGAAGTAACCACTGAAAGTACGTGCAGAACCTATGTGTGAGTCTCCAGAGTCTGAAGCAGTAAAATGTGAGCTGATCCCACCTAGCTGTGTAGGTGCTGAATGCTAATTTAAGTACCCTAATTTAAGTACTACTATTGCTAATTACTTCAGAGAAGAAAGACTGGGCAAGAAAGAAAGTCATGGAGCTGTGTAATGTGCCACATGCAGCTCACCATCTGCTCTCACATGAAGGACATAGCGATGGAAACTAAACTATTTTCCCTGAGTCTCGAAAGTGGTCACATAGGGTCTGAGGGCAGATTTAAGCATACTGTGGAAAAGGCCTTCTCAGGGCAGTTCTGGGAGCAGAACGAGGATGGTTGGAACCTAGAGCATTCAGATGCTGCTTAAACTTGGTGAAGAAAGGGAGGAAAAGGATAGTTCACCCTCCCTCCCACAAGGTTCCAGTCTACAGCACAGCATGTCTCTTGCCATGCTAACGTGAAGCAGTAGGATGGATGTGTTTGTGGGAGGAAGGTTTCTTAGACACTGGCGTAGACATTCCTTCCACAAGGTTACTGTATAGAAGAGCAGTGGGGTTGTGCCTGGAGTTACTCTGCCCCCTGGCATGCTTGAGAGCAGTCTTTGAAGGATCCAGGTCTTTCCTATTGATTTCTCATCAGTCACAGAGAATATTCTGTTTTCCATATCCATAATTGACAAAATGGGAAACTATACATATAAACAACTACAAAAGACTTTTGGAAAAGCCAAATGACAATGGTAGTTTTGGTAATTCCTTGGGAAGGTTGTAAATCCTCAGTGTCAGAAGACATCTTCTGGGATGCAGAGATGGATGACAGGGACTCTCTTCCAGTCCTGCTTTCTACAATTAGGAAATGCTCTCTGCAGTCCTCTGTCTTGGGACTCATTAATCCCATTAATGAGGGGACACAGTGTAGTGGAAGAGCTTATACCCTCTCATGCCTTTAGCCACATTCACAGAAAAGGAGATAGATTTTGATCTAATTATCTTGATGTTAGTATTGTGAAAATACCCGTAACATGTAACAAAGTCCATATTTTTCCTGGGGGTCACTTTACTGAGATGGAGTAGACCCTGCCTGAGCTGAGCACAGGAGTAAAAAGATGGGAACATTGTCTCCGCAATGTGGTTTGGCAAAACTACTATGGAATAGCTGCTTCTTTGGGGACAGTTCTGGAGCAATGCAATAGAGTAAATTCATCACAGGCAGAACATAAGAGGCTAGATAAACAGCAAAGAGAATGCCTAWAGGAGGGACAGACCAAGGGCTCTTCATGGTAGCTGTAATGCTCTGGGGTTCTGGTCCCACAGTTCCTGTTACTGGTGTCCAGAGGAGAGCACCAAGAGAAACATGGCGGCATGAAAGCCACGTTTCCTGATAGAGAAAGTACCTGCTGAATTCTTGATGCATCTTCTTGATGCACTGTGAGGTTTCACCTTTTCTGCTGTGCTTGGACGTAGGGTCATTAATGCAACACCTGTGTTCCTTAATTCATTTGGGTTTTCTCATATTTGGAAGGTATATTTGTATTCTCATATTCACTGTTTTCAAAACAAATGGATTTGAGACCTTTTAAAATTTTGTGATGTTTCCTATGAGTGTAGTGAGCCCTGCTCTAGGATCTTGCACAAGACAAATTAATCTATCATATTAACATTTATTTCTTAAAAATGAACAATCTCATTACTTAATTCACAAGCAAACATCTCTTCTGCTGGTCTGCCTTACTATAAATAACACACCAGCCAATGTTTTTAAAGCATGAGAAGAGAAACATCAGGAAAGCATGAGAAGAGAAACATCWGGTGTTATTTACCTGCAAAGAGGTTCTACAAGGTCCTTGTCAAGAAAATCATGATCTTTCTTTACTGCAGCAATGTCAATGGGAAACTGGGAATCTATAAAAGGAGACACAATATTAAGACAACTGCTTGCTATTCAAATGAAAACGTACTGTCTTGTCCTAAAATGCTTGGCAAGTAGTTACTCATTGAAATGCAATATAAGTCCTTTCATGCAGACTTGGTTCCTTTTCAGATCTGTGACCCTTTCAGTTACTGCTGCAGGTTTTTTTTGTTTTTTTTTTTTTCTTCCCTATTCCCTATTGGAAGTTGTGCACCAGACAGAGCACAACATCGTGCCACTTTTGCTTTAGTAAGATATACATTATTAGCTGTGCTTTCTACCGCCTAGCAGCAGGCAGAGCAGTGCATGGGCTAATAAGCCCTAGCGGGCCTGGGCTGGCTGAGTTTCTCTGGCAGAGATAGATAATCTGCAGCGTGAAAAAATGAAGATCAGCTGCAGTTTCCCTCTCAGCACTGCTCTGAGAGGAGCAGAAAAACACAGCTCAGTGCCCAGGCTGCTCTTGAACGCAGCAGCAGCGCGTTCAATCCCCCCTGCTTATTGGAGCACCATTTCTCAACCACTCGCTCCAGAAAGAGCAAAGCAGGGGAAAGGCTGCAGGGGAGAAGTCGCAGTCGTTCCCAGAACTGAAAACTTTGGGACAGTGATTTGACACATATGCTTTGAGCTRACCCCAGAGTTTTTCTTGTTTTGCAGTGAGAGAAGAACACAGGAAAGCACAGCTTAAATGATCCATTTTTAATATCTTAATACTTCTAATATTTTCAATCTCATTTTAGACACAGTTCAGAAATTTTTTAAAAAGTAGACTTACGTCTCTGATTTTTTTTTTTTTTGCATTTGCTTTTGCCAATTATTACACAAACTAGGTCCCCCTGTTTTCTTCCACAGCTATGAAGACTACAGTCCTACTTTTCTTTATGCATTCGTATGTCTCCCACAGCTGAGGCTTTGTGAGTGCTGCCTCCCACTGCAAAACCCTCATTCTTATTAGTACTGCCAGACTGTGAGCTCTCCTGGCAAGGACCCAATGCACTTTCAGTACTTCACAGACTGGAGAAAAACCTCCTTACCTTCATAGAACTGAGCATATTGGGGAAATCCAGCTGCACGTAACCAGTCACACGCTTCCTTTGCTTCAATTTCTGAGGAGCAAGAGAAGAGCAAATAGTCCACACTTTGACATTTTGCATTATAATTTCTTTTAATTGCAATTGGTAATAGCAGCTATCTACTTAAAAACACAGCAGTCATTCAGTAGTAACTGTCAATAGCATCAAGAAACAAAACACACCTCCATCAAAGAAATCCACCTGCCTCCAGGGGATGCCGGATTGTCCAGCTGTTTGGAGAGGGGAAAAAGCAACTACCTTCCCATGCAAGGAGAGTTGCTCAGCTAGGGTGAGTCCCTGCGTCCTGTCCTTCCCTAGCTCTCACTGAAGGGACTTTGTACAGTGGAAACTGTGAAGAAAGCAAGTCAAAAAGTAGCAGGGTGGAAGTGGAAAGACGGAGGACATGCCTCTGCTCCAATATTTCTGGGAGAGAATAATCACTGCAGAGGTGGACAGATATCATCTTTACACTGCACCCATGCTGTCCCTTGTGTAGGTAGAATTAATCCTGAAAGGAGAACTGGGTAGGTTGGATGCCCTTCCCTCCCTTTGGCTGCCTAGGGCAGCTCTCTGGATTCCCTCTGAAGTCAAAGGAGAGCCAGATACCTCCACAGAGTGATTCATTTCATCTCAAAGATTTTTGCATAGGACAAGCAGATCTAGTCTGTGCAAATGATAATCAGCAATAAACAACAAGCAGCTACACAGAAGCAGAGGGTGCATTTTCAGGTCTCTCCAGTAAAACAGACTTTGTGCATTTCTGTGGTCACACACATGGCTGTTCCCCTGAACACTGACATGACCCACGCGTGTTGACAGTTGGGTCACTCAATTTTTAGCAAGCTCCAGGGACTAATTCTACCGAGATTTGAAAGCAGGGCATCAAGTGTAGCTCTGTAGCTCTGGCTGGGCAGAMACTCATATTGTCTTTATGCTGGGCACTTGTAGGTTGAAGCTGCTGCTGAAGAGCGCCTGAAAGGAGAAGAGATCCTCCCCCAAACATGGATTGTTGTTGCTGAACTCTGGACAACATTTCCATGTTGCCTTTTGAAGAGACTTGATTTATATGATTAAAACTAAAACACGCATGTGCACATTTCTCATAACTGCAAAATCTGCATGTATGCCAGCTAAGGAATAGAGTCTGCATATGTTGAAAGGAGATATTTATGTTCCTTATTATTCAACCTGAAAGAACCAAAGAAAGGTTTTGGTGTATTTGTTGTAAAATCCAGGCAGCCACAATACAAAGCCCCAAACACAGAACAAGCAATAGAACTAGAAAAACAGACCTGCTTTCTCATCTGCATGTTCTGCCCTGTATGCAAAAATCCCAGCTGTAAATGTGTTGCGTGCTAAAAAGCATTTTTAGAGATATGAGGTACAGGCATGAATTCCTCCCCATATAATTCCATTCAGATCGCTCATTATAGCTCTAATGACTTCACCCACTATAAAACCTGCCTTGAATATATTTTGCAGTATGTGACCCACACACCTCTTTGCCCTTCTGAATACTGAATCACACCAGCAAATTTTGTTACGGAGATAAAAATCCAGAATATGCCTCTCCTTATCAAAAGCACAATTTCCCAAAGACTGCTGCAGAGCCTGTAACAGCTCAGCGATGGCCACAATCATTAGCAGCACTGAAAAGGATTTACCACCAGGTCTTCATTTGCTCTGACATTACTTCTTGTCAAGGCCAAAAAGGGAGTATAAAAGTACATTCAGTTCTTAACAGCACACAAAAGAATGAGCAGCTTGCACAAAGCGTGGCTCTCACTACTGCACATCTGTGTGCGGAAGGCGCATCTCTATTATGTTCCAGCAAGACTGAATATTTTTATTAAATGCTTGGAAAAAAGACAAGTCTCTATACTTTTGCTTCAGCTTAATTCAATCTCACGAAACACAGATGAATCAATTCTATTTCAAAATATATTTTACAACTCCTAACAGCTGTACATTCTAGCTTCATCTGGCCTGGAAGCACAACTAACAGAGGCAGCAGGCGATGCTGCATGCTAACACTTAATGCTCTTACATGCTTATCATATTTCAATGTGCTTTTCAGTTGACTGCTCAAATCAGGGACTGATAAGAAATCATCCTGAAGCCCAARCGACACCTAAAAACCTCAGGTTGCAATAGGTGAATAATTGCAAGGAATAACGGAGGAAGTAAATCTCACCCTTCTTTTGCCGACGTTGTTTAAAGGTTGTTCATAGCAGACTACAACTCTCTTAAACTCCTCCATTACTCAAAATGATTGTCAGATTAACTCTGGCTTTAAATCTTTGGCTCTAGCTAATACATKAAGACATCTATTGTGAATATTTTCATTTTCTGAACTATCACATAAAAAAACCAGATTCAGCCTCAAACAAGATTTGCTAAATCAGCCTCTGGGACACTGGGCCACAGACATGAATCAGTGGGACTCTGTTCTATTTTCTTTTAGGTCTTTTTAAGAGGACAGCACAGGCTACAGAGGTGCAATGTGCTATTGGCTCAGCACCAAACATGACTTTGCCCATAGCAGCCTGTTTCTCCTGGTTAAAGGCATCTGCTCTGGCTCTTCTGGGCAGAACCCAGCATTTACTACTCAGCAGAGATAGAAGGTGATTTCTACTATCTCACTTGGGGCATGTAAGCCAAGTACAGTTCAAAATGCAATACATTTTTTTTCCATTACTGGATATTTTGATGCTTAAAGTATAATTTTAGATGCTTAATTTAACATTCACCTTTAGTATATAWACTGTATAGTATATATCCACTGTATGTAGCACAGGTGCAAGAACCAGCCTGTAGCAGCTGCACTATCATCATGAGGCGAGCAGACAGGCTACTGGGGAAAAGCGAAGCTAGGACAAAAAAAAAAAAAAAACAAAACAAAACAACAGTGGAACAAATTCCTGAGATCGCAAGAATAAAAACTCATAGCCCATGCATGAGAGCAAATCCTATTTCCAAAAGGCAATACAGGTTCAGAAGATTTTAGGTGCTTTTGAGAAGTAAGTTTCTCTCAGTTTCTGAACAGGGACTAGATTCTCTCCAAAGATTTATTTCCCCCCAGAAATACCTACTCGTGTGAGAATATCGAACCTTTGGACCCTACAGGGCTATTTCTGAAAGGACAAAGTAGGTGAATTAACATGAATTGCACTCTGCAATACAGAGGCATGCATGCTGCCTCCTTGAGAAGAAAGTACTGCACAAGTTAGGCAGAAAATGCAGAACAACTGCAAGTGACCAAGAGAGGAAAAACTAGTTCTGAGACTGGGTTGGTTACTCTTTAGGCTGAGAAACCAAGTGTCCCGGGTTTCTCCCGTCCTGCAAGAACACGGAAAGCTGCTTGTGTTTGTGCAYGGCTCCCAAGCTCTGAGAAGGTCTGTCCTTGGGGAAGGAGGAACCCTGGTGGGGCCTGACCCAAAGGCTGCAGACCCCCATGTATCTGATGCCCCTGCATGGGCAATGTCAACCTGCCCTGCTGTCTGAAAAARAAGTCATGGGTAATTTACTGAGTTGCTTTCCACTTGCTCCAGCAGCAGTTAACGATAATCATTAATTATTTAGGATAGATGATAACTCAGTGGCAAGTATTGGCAAGTGTCAGTGTGTTTAACAGTAGTGGAGTTGTCAGGGATTTTCACAGATTCACAGAATATTTAAGGTTGGAAGGGACCTCTAGAGATCATCTAGTCCAACCTTCCTGCTCAAGCAGGCACACCTAGAGCATGTGGCACAGGGTGGCATCCAGGCGGGTTCTGAAGACCTCCAGAGTAGGAGACTCCACAACCTCCCTGGGCAGCCTGTTCCACTGCTGTCACCCTAACAGTAAAGAAGTTGCTCCTCAYCTGGAGATGGAACTTCCTGTGCTCCAGCTTGTGGCCATTACCCCTCGTCCTGTCGCTGGCCACCAGTGAAAACAGCCTGCCCCTTCCTCCCTGCATTCTCCCTTCCTGAACTTATACATATTAATCATATCCCCTCTGAGCTGTCTCTTCTCCAGAGAAAACAGGCCCAGCTCACTCAGCCTCTCTTCATACGAGAGATGTTCCATTYCCTTAATCATCCTGGTTGCCCTTCTCTGGACCCTCTGCAGAAGCTCCACGTCCCTCCTATACTGGGGTGCCCAGAACTGAACACAGTACTCCAGGTGCGGCCTCACCAGAGCTGAGTAGTTTTCTCATTTTTCAGTTGAATTAATCATGTGGCTCAATAGGGAACACTTTTTTTTCCTATTCCATTTTCTACCAGTAACAAGCTCTTACTGAAGCTCATGTCCTCAGAAGTCCTCAGCAACATTTCTGAGGAGATAAGGGTGCTTCATGGCCACCCACACCCCTGCCACGTATCAGCTCTTGCCAGGGGAGAATGCACAAAGCTACCCAAGCATAAATGTTTCTTTTGAGCTATGGAGCTTTACGAGGTCTTGCCTCTGAGATCCCCATGAAGTTCCCCGCCTGTTTTACCAGAACATTTCAGTGCACATATGCAAGCAAGGACCTCAAACTTTTCTCACCTCTTTAATCAGACAAATCAAAATTTTATATTTGATAACTTCTTCATCTTTCTGTAACAAACTCTGTAACTATTATTTTTACTTTACAGAAGATAAGCTAAAGCACAGATGCYCAGATTTTTTTTTTAAGTGCGTAAGAAGGTTAGTGACAATGTTGGTGGGAATTAGGCACTGACTTATTTAGTTGCGCATGACAATATAGCTAGGCCACTGCTCAAGTACCCTTACAGATCTGCTGTGGAGAGACAAAATGCCAATTTTCTGAAGCTCTTGGAGACCTAAACTATCACTGTCACCTAGACTTTACTGAGGTTGATGAGTGTCCTTCAAATGAGTTTGCAAAGCTACATCGGAGCAAAGGATTACTGCAGGCAGGGTGCTGTAGATCATGATGAAATACAAAACTTCTCACGTTCCCTGTGGGAAGAGTCCTATGTAATTTAAGAGACACAAGTTTCTGCAGCATTTTCAGTTGTATTATACTCACCGGAATTCTTTAAAA